TCTTCAAATAAAGTTTTATAGTCTTTGTCAGTGACAAAATAGGCGCTAGTAAATATCTGCTGAATAAATAAAAAAAAAATTGAATAATTTTTAACTGGGCAATTCTTCTCTGAACACCCATGTTCACAGCAGCATTGTTCACAATAGCCAAGAGGTAGAAGTAATCCAAATTTACACTGTCAGAAGAATGAATTAAGAAAATTTGGCTAGGGCATGATGGCTCACATCATGAAGCTATAAGTAAAGCTTAGAATTCCCCTCCATTTCCCTTTAGGTAATATTTCTTCCACTAAATCAACAGCATCTGAAACTCTACTTCCTATAGATAGCATGTCTTGGTAGAAAGGGTTATGAGACCTAAATTTGAATACCATTTCTGGTACTTAATAACTGTATGATGCTGAACTGCTTACTTAACTTCTCCAAGATTCAGCACCCTCCTCTTTACAATGGGGTAACAACACCTAACATTCCTTGATAGGAATGTTCCGAGGATTAGAAATATACAAGCATTCTTCAATTTGCAGGCTTCCAATATGCCCAAATTTCAGTTATCGTAGTTTAGTTAAATAACACCAATTACCCATCACACAATTCAAATTTCAGTTACCATTGTATACTAAGTGTGAGTAGCTGAATATGATGAATATAATACAAACTTCACTGCTACATCTTAAGTCCACAAATCACTATACAAATAACAGAAGTATATCATAGGAGGAGTAGGAGGAGTGCTTGAACTCAGGAGTTCAAGACCAGCCTGGGCAAAAATGGCAAAACCCCATCTCTACTAAAAATCCAAAAAAAAAAATTAGCTGGGCATGGTGACACACACCCGTAGTCCTAGCTGTGGGGTGCTGAGGTGGCAGGATCACTTGAGCTGGGAGGTCAAGCTGCAGTGAGCTGTGATTGTGCCACTGCACTCCAGCTGAAGCAACAGAGGGAGACCCTGTCTCAAAAAAGAAAAACCCAAAAAACTATTGGCCCTCATTAGTGTAGAAGTAGCTTGCTAAAAACAAAACCAAAAAAAAGTTTTTAAAAATGTTTTAATTTAAAAGAAAAAAGACGACTGGGCATGGTGGTTCACACCTGTAACCCCAGCATTTTGGGAGGCCAAGGGAGGTGGATCACTTGAAGTCAGGAGTTTGAGACCAGCCTGGCCAACATGATGAAACCCTATCTCTACTAAAATACAAAAATGAGCCAGCCATGGTCACATGTCCCTATTAATCTCAGCTACTTGGGATGCTGAGGCAGGAGAACTGCTTGAACCCAGGAGGCAGAGGTTGCAGTGAGCTAATATCACACCACTGCATTCCAGCCTGGTCAGCAAAGCAATACTCTGCCTGAAAAAATAAAATAAAATAATAAGAAGAAACAATAAAAAATATTCATTCCATTATTATAGTTATGTGATGAAAAGGCAAGCACTGTTTAAATTACTCCTGATAAGTGATTTTTATAAAGAAAAAAGTTTATTTCTCAATGTTTTTAATGCTTTAAAGTATACTAAATAAATATGCTTACTTTTTTCATTTCCCTATATATTCATAACCAACAGTAAGAGAGTTTACAATGTTTGACAAAAAGTTTTAAAGGTCACAGAACAATCATAACTTTTCCCATTGATTTTTAACATAGCTTTACCTGGTTTTAACTTAAATAGTCATTTGTATGGTCCCATGCTACAATGCAAAACAAGGACTGCCTGTACCTTTAACTTCTGGGACGTCAAAGGGCTTATTATTTCACAATGAGATACCTTTTCCCCAGGTCCTTACAATCTGCTCAAACAAAAGGAATTTAAACTAATCTTGGCTGAGGCAGGAAGACAGTTTCCAGGTGCTGAAAGTGACTGAGAACCACTGCCGTATCTGAATATGCAATTCTCTAAACTATTCCTTATTCCCTAAAATACATATATTCTAATGCTGAAAGATAGTTGAAAGATCGTTGAGTAAACTGAATAGTTGTTCAGTTTGTCCTCTGTGATACCATAGTATTTCATATCCATCTTCCTTTCTTGAATATGAGAAAAACAATGAATGTGTGACAGAAGTAATGATGGAGAGGTAACCTGGATAGTAGCGTTAGAGTCAGACCTCAGCGTGAATACTATCTCTACATCACTTACTCTAATCTTAGGTAAAGTATTTCCTAGAGCTTCAATTTCCTTATCTTTGAAATGGGGACAATAATACCTTCTTTTTGGAATTACTATAAAGATCAAAAGAGATAAGATATATGAAGTGCTTAGCAAAGTGCAGTGCATAGTGACCACTTAGATAATAGCTATTATTGCCATTATTATCCTTCATGTTGTCATCAATACTATCGTTAATGTAAATATTATCATGATGCTAAAATTGCATTTGCTTCAGACACATTTTAAACCTATTACTATTAATAAGCATATTTTTCAAAGAACAAATTCTCTTAGTCCAAGATATACTATTATAGATACTCATGACTTGCTATGGTAAGATGACTTGACCTCAACTTCCTCCAGACGATTTTCTCCCAAGGTACATGTGCAAAGGGCTGCCAACATTTACTCATCCTCTTCTTGCAACCCCTCTGATTCCTGTGTCAAAACCCTCCCTGCAGTCTGCGCAGTTTCCTCTTCTGAGCACACTGAGAACAAATGTCATTTCCCATTTCTCAGAGCTATCTGCCAGAACACAGTATCTTGCTCTCTCATAGTCCACATGACTTAACTGCCAGTTTTCTCTCTTTGCATTTTTAATTTTTTTTTTTTTTTTTTAGAAACAGGGTCTAACTCTTGCCCAGGCTGGAGTGCAATGGCACAATTATAGCTCACTGCAACCTAAAACTCATGGGCTCAAGTGATTTTCCGACACCAGTCTCCTGAGTAGATGGGACTACGGGCACAAACCACTATGCCCAGCTAATTTTTTATATTTTATGGAGACAGGGTGTCACTATGTTGCCCAGGCTAAACTCGAACTCCTGGCCTCAAGAGATCTTCCTGCCTTGACCTCTCAAAGTACTGGGATTACAGGCATGGGCCACAACGCCCAGGCCAGTTTTTTCTTTTAATTTGAATCCAAAACCTTGGTTGTAAACTAAGTCATTATTATCTAGGTAGACCCATAAAGCTGCAAAGGATCTAAAAACCAACTAAGGCTAGCCCCTTTTCTCTGCTAATTTTCTTCCTCTGAAAATATTCAGGAGTTTGTTGAACAACGTCTGATTTAACACTTTCAGTGACAGAAAGCTCTCTGTCCCCTAAGTCAACCTTTCCCATATCATTGGTTAGAAGGTTTTTCCTTACATTGAAGCAAAATTTTCCCTGTTATAGTTTCTGCCGATAGGCCCTAATTCCAGATTCTAATAATAATAAAAAAAATAATAACTGTTCTATATGATAGCCCATCCAATATTTGAAGACTCTTGAGTTTCACTTTTCCATGTTCCACATTTCCAACTCAGAATGCATGGTTTTCATCTCTTCCCTCATGGTCACGGTCCTCCGGACCAGGCATGGACTTGCCAAAGTGATCTAACAACAAACTGGTAAAGTGCTTCCTTTGCCAACATGTGGGCTTCCAAGTAATTGCATTACAAAGGATCCCTTTGCCCACATTTCTCTATTATTATGTAAAAATTATTCATTTAAACTAATAGTTCAAGAAAAGTGAGTCTCAGCCTAAATCATGGTCATAAGAGAATAGTACTAAAGTCCTGAAAACTGCAAAAAGTGTTTTTTCTCTTTTTTTTTTTTGGAAACTTAGCCAATTACCAGAACAGAATAAAGTAGGACCACTTGTCATGATATGTTTGCCTCTTTCCTACAAAGCCATGCGCAGATGCCTGGGAGCAGAACATAACAATGAGAAGGTTAAGTAATAAGAGTTTCACTTCACGTCCTGAGAAGTAGATCCAACTAAAAGAAGGCAGTGATCGTTAGCCAAAGGATAGTCTCTGCACTTTGCCAGAAGCGGGTACGTAAAAGAAGGATCAGATAATGTGCTCTCAAAACCTGATTAAACAATAGAAAAAGAAGTAGCAGATTTCTCCTAGCCTGGCAGGAAAAATCATCTAGGAAACACACACACACAGAGAGAGAGAGAGAGAGACAGAGAGAGAGAGAGAGAGAGAGAGAGAGAGAGAGAGACAGAAAGAGAGAGAATAAGCCCAATCTGGCCAGTAGTGCCTGACAGAGCAGCAGCTAGAGAAGAATTCTTAAATCCTCAGAAGGTCCAATCAGTGGAAGCAGTGTCCTCAAATGACCCCTGACTCCTAGACAGTAGGATAGGACAGAGTGGGGCAGGGACTTGGTCCCTTGTGCTCTTGGGAGCCTGGCAGGAGCAGAAGGTACAGACTAGGTGCAAGATGCCTTCGACTACTGGTGCAAGATGACAGTTGAAAGAGAGCAGATGACCTCTGGCACTTGAAGACATCCTGGGGGATAGGGGTGGGATGCTTCAGATCTCAGATTGGTAAACCTGTTCCCTGGAGATTAGCGAGGAGGTCTAATAAAAACAGAAAAGGGAAGGGAAACACGGTAGAATTCTCACGGATTGGGAAAAAGGGAAGATAGGAACGGTCCCCTTCTGGCTAAGGTGGTGGTGGCAACAGCAGAGCAGGTGTCCCGGGCCCTCATTCCAAGGGGCAGGGTCCTCCACTCTCCCAGCCTGGCCCCACTCCGCCCTCGGACTGGAATGCCCATTCCCAACCCTGCTCCTCAGGCTTTCCCCCTTAGGTCCAGCAGGGGCTCGCCACTTCCCACTGCTCTTCCGCCCCTCTAATCCTCAGGTCCCCTTCCGCCCGCCCAGACCCCGGCACTCCTTCATCGACACACTGGACTCCCGGCCCGCTTCCCTCAGCCTCTCGCTGGCCCTGGGCGCCACACTCCAGCTCCAGGGCCAGGCCTGGCACCTCCCCTCGCGGCCAGGTTCGCCCTTTGCCTTCCTCACATGGCGTCTCCTTAGCCCGGTGCCCTCTCGCCCCCGCTCCCCGCCTCAGGCCACACTCACAGAACTCGGCGATGTACCAGGTCACAGAGTAGTTCTCCTCACACCAGTCCAGCGTGGAGGTCGTGGGGCCCCAGTAGCCCTCCCGGTCCGCGGCAGGAGCCATCGCGTCGCCGCCGCCGCCGCCCAGGCGCTCCGCTCACTGCGCCGGGCTAGGCTGGCGACCAGGCCGGCTCCGGCCCACCCCGCGCGCTCGCTCCCGACCCGCCCTGCCTCCCTGAGGGGGCGGGGCCTGACGCCGTTACTGACACTGCCTTGAGGGAGGCCCCGCCCACCGGCGCCGCTGGGCCGTGGGGCCGGGCCGGGCCGGACCTGACCTGGCGCAAGGCCCAGCCGGAGGGCGCCGGCTGGCCCCGCCCCCCTTCATCCTTGGGCGGGGCAGGGGCGTAATCCAGGAAGGAGCCGGGAACCTGGGTTTCCTGGCCAGCGTTGGCACGCCGGTGGCTGTTGGTGGGGGGTTCCTGGCACCCCAGAGGCTATTCTGTCAGGGTGTGTCAGAGCCTCTAATTCTGTGTGTGTGGTTTAATTGGGGCGGGGGTGGAATGAAGCCTTCAATCAAGCCCTTGCTTGATTAAACCTGTGCAGCGCAACGCCTCTATGTCTTCCTTTGAGCCACAGGCCTCAATGGAACCCCAAAAGAGAATACCCCCAACCAATCCCCGCGATGCTCAGGAAATAAACCGTAATTTTCTGATAAAGGTGTAAGTGCCCCTTGGGGACAAAGGGAAAGGGTAAAAAACCCAGGATAGAAAGAAAAAAAAAATGTAGGTTCTGAGATCCTAAAAAAAGAATGCTGCTAGCTAGAGCACTAAAGCAAAGTGTCCCTGCTTCATTTGGGCCTCCAAGCGCAGAGGTTTCCACATTGTAATTGTGCACTGCTTTCCAGGCAACCAGCAGCCTATCCCTACTTCCAGCTTCAAAAGTTTAATACTCCCAGCCCAAGTCTGCGAGTATCTTAGACAGCGAACCCCGTGCCTACAAAAAATACAAAACTTAGCCGGGAGCAGTGGCTTGGACCTGTGGTCCCAGCTACTTGAGAGGCTGAGGTGGGAGGATCACTTGAGCCAGGTAGGTGGAAATTGCATGTAGTGAGCTGCGAATGTGCCACTCCAGCTTGGGGGTACAGAGCAAGACTCTGTCTCTAAATAAATAATAAATAAAAAGTCTAATACCCTTGGGGAGGCCGAGGCAGGGGGATCACGAGGTCAAAACACCGAGACCATCCTGGCTAATACGGTGAAACCCCATCCCTACTAAAAATACAAAAAATTAGCCGGGTGTAGTGGGACGTGCCTGTAATCCCAGCTACTCAGGAGACTGAGGCAGGAGAATCGCTTGAAACCGGGAGGCGGGGGTTGCAGTGAGCCGAGATCGCGCCATTGCACTCCAGCCTGGGCTGCAGAACGAGACTCCATCTCAAAAAAAAAAAAAAAAAAAAAAAAAAGTCTAATACTCCACGGGTCTGCCAGAGAGCTCTTCCTAAAACAGATGCAGCCACCCTTGCCCCTTGTGTTCAGCTACACCAAACTCAAATTTACCCCTCTCCTGGAATGTGTTGGCTCGCCTGTCCTTGCTCCCACAGTTCAACTGGGACAGCCTAACTCTCTTCTCCATTTGGCTAACTGCCCACTCTTCTTTTAAAATCCAGTTCCCTGAAGCCTTCCCAGATGTTCACACCCTAGAGCTTCCTTGCCTTTTGTTCACTCCTGCTGTACTACATCCTGATCAGAGACCTTGCTTTCCATTCTTTATGGTCTTCATATCAGGACTCTGCCTAACCACACGGTATGAAATGAAGAGTATAAATTAAGGATGATAAAACTGCTATTTTCTAAATAAGTCAGATATGATGCAAGTCAAAGGTAAAAGAGAAGACAAGGAGAGTTGAAAAGATCCATAGCCTTTCTACAAAATAACCCTAGCCAATTGACAGACAATAGGTGCAGAACCTTTACTTGCTAGGTGCAAAACTTAGGGATGGAAGCAGTGTATTTTAATAAAAATAGTAAGCTAGCTGAATTTTTTTTTTTTTTTTTTTTTGAGACAGAGTCTCCATCTGTCACCCAAACTGGAGTGCAGTGGCGCCATCTTGGATCCCTGCAACCTCCGTCTCCCACGAATCATGCCTCAGCACCCTCTCATCCCCAGTAGCTGGGATTACAGGAGCCTGCCACCACACCTGGCTACTTTCTGTATTTTTACCAGAGACAAGATTTCACCATGTTGGCCAGGCTGGTTTCGAACTCCTGACCTCAAGTGATCTGCCTGCCTTGGCCTCCCAAAGTGCTGGGATTACAAGCCTGAGGTACACCCCGCCTAGCCTGAAAATTTTCTTTCGAACATCATTGAGCTTCTGCTGTATACCAGGTCTGGTTTGGCTGGCTGGATGCTAGGACCACACAGAGGTAAACAGGAAAGATCCAAAAGGGCCCTCTCCAGCAAGATAAAAGCCATTGAGAGGTGGGGAACCATCTACTTCTAGTCATTTTATCTCATCTTCTAAAACTTCTGTTTTGTTTATGTGTTTATATAATAATGATGAGCTTCTATAATTTATAAATGAAATATTTACATATTTGTATACTCAAAATGAATATTCAAAAACTCATACTCAAAAGTGATTTGCCAATGAGGTGTACAATCAAAACAGTACAGAAACCAAAACAATAGACTGTGATAATTCTTAGCTAGCAGTACATAAAAAATTAGGGTGTTGTGAAACCGCCTATGTGAAAATAACCTTTGACCCAGCCAACTGACCGAAGGCAGGATGAGGCTTTGGCTGAGTCAATACTCTGCACAGTGTTCATCAATAGTGAAAACGAAAATCTACCATAACTGGGACTGAACTTAAAAGAGAGAAATTCCCCCATCCAAGAGAAAAGGTGCATTGCAGAAGTATCACTAGAAAACACAAAATGAATTTCATAATTCCTGCAGTTCCTTTTTCTTTTTTTCTGAAAAATTTTCCCCTTGAGGATAAAAGCAATGCCTGGAAATGTGAGGGACCCAGACTAGTCCAAACTAAAAAAGAAGAACAAAGCTGGAGGACTTACACTTCCCAATTTCAACCCTTAAGGCAAAACTATAGTAATGAAGTTACTGGTGTGAAGATAGACGTGTAGATCAAAGGAACAGAATTGAGAGTCCAGTGATAAACCCTTACATTTATGGTCAATTGATTTTTAACAAGGATGCCAAGACAATCCGATAGGGGAAAAATAGTCTTTCAACAAATGATGCTGTGACAACTGGATATCCACATGCAAAAGAATGAAATTAGAGCCCTTCCTGTTACAATAAACAAAATTCAACTCAAAATAGATCATAGACTTAAATGTAAGCGCTGAAACTATAAAATTCTTAGAAGTTTACCTAAAAATAAATCTTTGTAAACTTGGAGTAGGTAATGGTTTCTTACATAAAACACCAAAAACAAAAGTGACAAAACGAAAAATAGGTAAGTTCGACTTCATCAAAATTAAAAACTCCTTTGCTGCAAATGATACCATTAAGAAAGTAAAAAGACAACCCACAGTATGAAAGAAATTACTTGCAAATCATATATCTTATATGAGACTTGTATCCAGACTATATAAAGAACTTGAACTCAATAATCAAAGGATAAATAACTCCCAAATACGCTATTAAAGAATGAGCAAAGGATCTGAATAGACATTTCTCCAAGGAAGATATACAAATGATCAACAAAAACATGGAAAGATGTTCAACATCTTAGCCATTAGAAAAATGCAAGTGAAAACCACAGTGAGTTGCCACTTCACACACACTAGGGTGACTATAATCAAGTGTAGGGCTGAAGGCCCACAGGGTCATGGGGCGTGCCTTATGCTGTGCTGAGGCGAAGGATCGAAGAAATAAAGAGACACGACACAGAAGTACAAGGAAAATGCAGCTGGGCTTGCAGGGGGGAGGGGTGTGGGGAGGGACCGCGCCACTTATGAGGGGAGTCAGGAGAGGCCCTGAATGTCCAGAAGCGTGAGTATTTATTGTGTATAGGTTAGGGGGCAGGGCAGTGAGTGAAATCATCTTTAAGGATAGTGATAGGGTCGTGAGCAATAAAACAAGGAGTCCACCCCCATTAGGTCACCTAGGCTAGGAGGTGGACAGTGCGCAGCAAGGGGCCCATTCCCATCAAGGCAAGGGTCATGTGCAGTAAGTGTCCCACTCCCATTAGGTCACCAAGGCTTGAAGGCAGGCCATGCGCAGTGAAGAGGGTGCAGTGTGCAATACTTCTATCTATGGGCAAACTACTTCTAAGAAGATTTATAGGAGGATGCTTTAAGTCACACAGTAGTGACAGAGCTGTCAGGGTCTATGCCACCTGCTGGCAGCTTCCAATGAGTTCTATAGGGGAATGCTTTCTGAGCAGGACAGTAGCAAGATCTGATAAAGTTCACAGTCACCAAGGTGGATTGCCGGTCTGAGGGCAGCCTTCCACAAGAACTGGAGCACTTTATCAGGAGGAGTGGCTCTTGCCCCAAGCCTGCCATACAGCGGGTATCTTTACGATACTGAACTCTGCCGCCTGGGCCATGGATTCTTGTCCTGGTATAACTGTTTTTCCCTTAAATCATGCTCTGCACTGTGTCTGCTCTAGACACTCCTCTGATTATAAGCTGCTTATTCCTTAATTCATGCTCTGTACCGTGTCCACTCTAGGCATTCCTCCAATTATGAACTAAGATATAATGATATATGTGTAGGGAAATATTCTTTAGGCACTCACACTATGAACCATTATATGATTATATATAGAGGATTATATAAAGGGATTCTTCAAGCCCTAATTCTATAAACTAATATATGATTATATAAAGGATTATATAAAAGGAAATAGTTGGGTAGTAACACTATAAACTGAGATATTCTTCAAGCCCTAACTGTGCCAGGGTTCTGTTTAGGTCTCTTTCCTCGGTGCCTTTATGGGGGGTTACCCACAATCAAGCAGACAAATAACAACAAATGTTGGCAAGCATGTGGAGAAAGTGGAACCCTCGAACCTTGCTGGTATGTAAAATGCTGCAGCAGCTTTGAGAACTTTTTCAGTTTCTCAGAATGCTAAATGGAGTTATCATATGACCTATGCAGTTTTACTCCTAGGTATATGCCAAGAGAATTAAAAACATATGTCCACCAAAAACTTGCACAAAAATAATCATAGCAGCATTACT